TTGGACTAATTCGAGGTCGATTACACTATAATTTACCGAGATTGTACTAATTTGACTTCAACTGGACTAATTCGAGTTCGATTACACTATAATTGATTGAGATTGTATTAATTCGACTTCAGTTCGACTAATTCGAGGTCGATTACACTATAATTTAGCGAGATTGTACTAATTTGACTTCAATTTGACTAATTTGAGTTCGATCACACTATAATTGATCGAGATTGTACTAATTCGACTTCAATTGGACTAATTCGAGTTGATTACACTATAATTGACCGAGATTGTACTAATTTGACTTCAATTGGACTAATTCGAGGTCGATTACCCTATAATTTAGCGAGATTGTATTAATCCGACTGCAATTGGACTAATTCGAGGTCGATTACACTATAGTTGACCGAGATTGTACCAATTCGACTTCAATTGGACTAATTCGAGTTCGATTACACCATAATTGACCGAGATTGTACTGATTTGACTTCAATTGGACTCATTCGAGTTCGATTACACTATAATTGACCGAGATTGTACTAATTTGACTTCAATTGGACTAAATCGAGGTTGATTACACTATAATTTATCGAGATTGTACTAATTTGACTTCAATTTGACTAATTTGAGTTCGATCACACTATAATTGATCGAGATTGTACTAATTTGACTTCAATTTGACTAATTTGAGTTCGATCACACTATAATTGACCGAGATTGTACTAATTTGACTTCAATTGGACTAATTCGAGTTCGATTGTACTATAATTGACCAAGATTGACTAATTTGACTTCAATTGGACTAATTCGAGGTCGATTACACTATATTTTAGCGAGATTGTACTAATCCGACTTCAATTGAACTAATTCGAGGTCGATTACACTATAGTTGACCGAGATTGTACTGATTCGACTTCAATTGGACTAATTCGAGTTCGATTACACCATAATTGACCGAGATTGTACTGATTTAACTTCAATTGGACTAATTTGACTTCAATTGGACTCATTCGAGTTCGATTACACTATAATTGACCGAGATTGTATTAATCCG